TTTATATCAAATACTTTATTACTTACTTATTTCATTCATTCCTATTTCACGAACCTCCTACCAGCTATTGCCTTTATGAGAACTTCAGTATAGGCCGAGATATAAATTCAAGTGACTACATTGTCTGACACTGGAATACAATTTTAACTTGACGTCAACAACATACACGTCTGACTGTCAGCCTTGTTCTGAGATAACGATGTGTCAAAGACAATCAGTTTCAGCAACAGTGTTGTTGATTTAATTAACCCAGAAACTATTACTGCTAATTGACTAGGGATCAAACTACACTCATATCAGCCCGTATTTTGATTGGGGAATAGAGAGAACACGATGAGGCCACGTATATATGTACACAAACAGTTTTGTAGCGCAGTCGTTTAACTCTGCTCAAACATTTCTCAATTTTGTTCATTGTTAATTGCAGCGCCAACACGGTTCCTGTGGCTTCTTCTTGTGTAATTTACTTTTGGTATAAGCGCAAATAAACGTCACTATTCCCCCATTGACCGCAATAGTCTATTATTCAGTATGAGAAATGGACTCATCAGCAAACACATATAGATATCCGTCAATACAAGTGCAATATTGTATCTAACAAACTTTGATCGATATGGGATATAGGATTTTACACACACACACACACACACACACACACACACACACCACACCACACCACACCACACCACACCACACCACACCACACCACATGCATACATAGATACATACATACATACATACATACATACATACATACATACATACATACATACATACATACATACATACATACATACATACATACAAACGTGTCCGTTGCCTTCTGACTATAGGATTAGGGCGTGTCTTCTGTATATATTGGTGTCATATTTGTGTCAGTTGTCTTCTACAGATAGGGGTCATGTGGGTGTCAGTTGTCATGTCTTTTGTCATGTGAACATTTAGGCAAGAAGTAGGCACCCCCAAGGGTACCAATTGTGCTCCCCTTCTTGCTGATCTGTTTCTTGATACGTATGAATCAATTTTCTGATCGGATTGGCAAAGTCAAAACAAGGTACCTGAACTAGAAATAAAGAGACCAGTGAGTCCCTTCATCTGTTTCATATTTAGATCACATTCTATGCATTTAGATCACATTCAGAGTGACAAAACAATCTCCACAAGACTGTATGACAAGAGGGGTGACTTCAACTTTCAAGTAGTCAACTGTGCCTTATGTCGAGCAATTTCCCTCCAGCTCCAGCCCTTGCTGTCTACATTTCACAATTTCGGAGGTACAGTCGAGCATGCTCTTACTACCAGGATTTCAAAGAGCGTGATTCATCTCTTGCTCAGAAGTTGTTCGATCTAGGTTACAACATTCATGGCCTCGGTAAAGCTTACAAAAGGTTTTATGGTACACATGTGGACATGTGACCAAAATAGTGTCCGATGCAATTCCCTATTTTGACTTGTACCATATGGTTCCGTGATTTATTTTTCAGGTGAAAAAATAACTTGCCTTTGCATGTGTTTGTGGCAGGTGCCACCGGTGGGGCAGGATACGCTTACCTTTTCGCGAACACCTGGTATCATCACTATTTGATAATGATTCATAAACACGTGCATTTCATGTCGGAATCGTACACTCGACTGTGGTTTTGGCAGGAATGTCTTGTGATAATGGAAAGGAATTTGTCGCTTTTATTTTTCTACACATGGGGGTCATATGATCGCCAGTTGTGACCTGCTTATAGGGATCATTTGCCTGTCACTTGTTTTCTACATTTTGGGGGTCATATGTGTGTCAGTTGTCTATTACATAAAGGCGGTGACATGTTTGCAAGTTGTTGTTTACATATAGGGATCATATTATTTTTACTGCCTAGGGGCACTGGAAGGTTTTTACATCCACCACACATATCGGGTACCAATTCCCTGTTGGGTGAACAGAGGCACATTTTACCTATTGGCACTTGTGTTTCGGGGGTATCTACGTATTCGTGTTTCCACCATCTGGTCATCTACCATCGGACGAGTGGGTTCTTTAAAGTGCACAGGGTTTCTGTACTGTACACTAGGGGTAGTGACAACACTGTAAAGACATGTAAACATTGATGGTCCCAAGGTTGAATAACAACCCAGTCACTAGCGGGACACGATCCCAGCACGTGGCTATTATCGGATGCCATATTGTAACCCACTTATAGATGTCATATAGCGACAGTAACTGTTGTGTTGCACATATAGGGGGTCATATGTTTATTCTACTTATTTACCCACTTATCGGATGTCATAATGCGACTGTTGTGCTATACATATAGGGGGTCATATATTTAATCTACTTATTAACCCACTTATAGATGTCATATAGCGACAGTAACTGTTGTGTTGCACATATAGGGGGTCATAAGTTTATTCTACTTATTTACCCACTTATCGGATGTCATAATGCGACTGTTGTGCTATACATATAGGGGGTCATATATTTAATCTACTTAGTGCTATAGTGAGTGAGTATGGTTTTACGCCGCTTTTAGCAATATTCCAGCAATATCACGGCGGGGAACACCAGAAATGGGCTTCACACATTATACCCATGTCGGGAATCGAACCCTGGTCTTCAGCGTGACGAGCGAACGCTTTAACCACTAGGCTACCCGACCGCCCCCTGTTGTGCTATACATATAGGGGTCATAAGTTTAATCAACTTATTAACCCACTTATCGGATGTCATATTGCGACTGTTGTGGTCCACATATAGGGTGTCATATGTTTAATCTACTTATTTACCCACTTATCGGATGCCATATTGCGACTGTTGTGATCCACGTATAGGGGGTCATATATTTAATCAACTTATTAACCCACTTATAGATGTCATATAGCGACAGTAACTGTTGTGATGCACATATAGGGGGTCATATGTTTAATCTACTTATTTACCCACTTATCGGATGTCATAAAGCGACTGTTGTGCTCTACATATAGGGGGTCATAAGTTTAATCAACTTATTAACCAACTTATCGGATGCCACAGTGTGTCAGTTCTCAGGTGTACAGAGTATCCTGAGCGTGTCCGTTGTTTTCTTTGTGGTACATAAGTCTCATCGGTGTTTTCAGTTACAAATAATGACAAGCATGGTACAGACTTATAACGTTATGTTATTATGTCAGTAGTTCGTTATTCCTCATAAAATGGAATATGAAAAATATAATGTTTTCAACTTCAATGCCATTACACGATCTTTAAGATCACACAGACTGTTTCAAACGTTTTGTATTCACAAATAGCAATAACACTGATATGAGTATCTGTAAATAGGTATTGTTGTTAATATAAACCAGTATTTAAGCTGATTTGTATGATATTTTACATGTAACCGATGTCTATCATTTGGAGTAAACTTAAAATTTACCTAAGTACAGTTTCTATCTATTTCATTTCTTTAGTCACCATACTTCCCTACCATACACCAGTTTTAGAACAATTTTCATGACAAACACTTTAAATGCATCTTTTAGAGGCGTATTATCTTTTCTTACAAGTGATTTTATTGGGAAAAGTTATTGCTGGTACGAGCTAGCCACTTTAACTACGCTGTTATAAAAAATAAAAGTCCAGTTTTCAAAGTGTCCCTCATTTCTAAGTACAATTTCTTTTCGAGATTTATTTCCATGTCCCATTTAAAACAATAAACATGGAGAAAGTCAAATAGATTCAGCATTTTGACAGGTGAGTCTGCAACTAATATTAGATCATCTGCAAACGGGAGTGCTTGAATGTTATACAGTACATAGAATCAGGTTTGTTTTGTTTGTTTGTTATATAACGCCGCACGCAGCAATATTCTAGCTGTACGAAGGCGGTCTGTAAATAATCGAGTCAATTCAGTGATTTATATCGATCCACGCAACTGTGATACGATGCCATGCTTCAACCAAGTCAGCGAGCCTTACCAGTCGATCTTGCTTGTCGCCGCTTACCACAAGCATAGCATCAATATGACAATTCCATTATCTAATAGAATCAACCAATTCTTTGATAAATGTTGAGAAAATGATAGGGATATGTTTACACCCTTGTCTGATACCGGTAGAACAATATATATTGTCAGATAGGTTCCTTCCCTCCTAAATGTCAACAGCAGATTTAATATTAGCATACAAAAATTAATATTGAAGCACCATGAAAATGTTTCCATGTATACCGTTCTCCTTAAAAAGCAGAAACATCATATGTCTATTAACATGTCAAATGCTTTTCTTAAAATCTACGCAAGCGCAGTAGAGTAGTGAGGTTTTCAATCATAGACTGTAATATAAATATATCATCAATTGTGGAGTGGTGTTTCGTGAAACCGCCAACTTCACCAAAAGTATCAGAATGTTGGTTTATAAGATATAGTATTCAATTCTCCTGCATACGTAAATAGATGCAAATATTTTGACATTGCAAATCGACAGTGGCTGCGTTTTGACGCACCGTTTGTCGAATATCAGGCCACCAATATTTTCCAATAACATATATTCAATTTATATACCGGATTTTTTTAGTGGTCAGGTTCAATGAACTACATACTACCTGTGCGTTTCTTTTCTTGAAGAGTGTACATCGAGTCATTCCCGTATAAGTGAGCAAATATGTTACTATTCCACCAATTTAGCGACCAATGTGCTTTGCTTTTGAAACGCTCAAATGGAAACATTTGTAATTTGTAAGCATATAATTAAGTCTTTATCATTTCAGCCCACGTTTCCATGAAACTAATTATTTCAAAATATTTTTAGAATTTAAAGAAATCTGAACTGCTTGTACTTAATTTGTTGTGTAACACGTCATGTTTCAACATAAGACGCTGATAAATCGAAGGTAAAGGTGTCACTTGTCTGAGGCATTCCGCACATGCAACTCAAAATCTAGACCCTAAGCGCTGGAGATATTTTCTGCGTAGCACCAATTCCATGCTATCTGTAAGGTTTAAAGTTACAACTGACCTGCTGCTATTGGTCGGTTTCAGTCTGCCCCATAGTGGGTGAGCGCTTGGGGTCTCGGACCACCTCAGTGGTTGACACCGATACTAACGTGAGATCGTACTTTCAGTCTTTGCGGTAAGTGAAATCAAGTTGTTATGATACATAGAATTATATTTACATTTATATATATATATATATATATATATATATATATATATATATATATATATATCTGTGTGTGTGTGTGTGTGTGTGTGTGTGTGTGTGTGTGTGTGTGTGTGTGTGTGTGTGTGTGTAGACTTAATGTCCGTAGAAAAACAGAATGTGTGCTTATTTTTGAGTTTGTAAGCATTAATGAACACATGTGTCATTTTAAAACAATACGTATGATTCATTATATACTCGGACATGTCAAGTTTGTTTGTTTGTTTGTTTGTTGTTTAACGGCGCACTCAGCAATAGTCAAGCTATATGACGGCGGTCTGTAAATAATCGAGTCTGGACCAGACAATCCAGTGATTAATATCATGAGCATCAACCCACGCAATTGGGATCGATGACATGCATCAAACAAGTCAGCGATCCTGACCACCCGATCCCGTTAGTCGCCTTTTTCGACAAGCATAGTCACCTTTTTACGGCAAGCATGGGTTGCTGAAGACCTATTCTATCCCCGGAGTCTTCACGGGTCGGACCAGTCAAGTAGTACATTGCAGTGTCCACCGTGCAGACATGAATATTTCTTTGTGCATGCGTGCGTGCGTGCGTGCGCGCGCACGCGTGTGTGTGTAGACTTACTGTCCGTAGAATATGGCTTATTTTGGAGTTTGTAAGCATAAATGAACACATGAGTCATTTTAAAACAATACGTATGATTCATTATATACCTGGACCAGTCAAGTAGTACATTGCAGTGTCTATCACGCAGACATGAATATTTCTTTGTGTGTGAGTGTGTGTATGTGTGTGTGTTTGCGTGTGTGTTTGTGTAGACTTAATGTCCGTAGAAAAACAGAATGTGTGCTTATTTTTGAGTTTGTAAGCAGTAATGAACACATGTGTCATTTCAACACAATACGTATGATTCATTATATACTTGGACCAGTCAAGTAGTACATTGCAGTGTCTATCATGCAGACATGAATATTTCTTTGTGTTCGTAATTTGGTACTGTTCTCCCCCTTGTCCTTCATATACATATACATGTATATGAAACCAGAAATGTGTTCCTTAAGAAGGCAATTATATCATTAAGACGTACGCTCAGCGGATTCCGATTTGATTTAATGTGGTATCAAATTTAGTGGGTTATCATTAATATTATGATTCATGTTTGTAGAAATATATATGGTACCGTTTTGATTATTTTACCCTTTCGTCTAACCTTTATGGTATGAATCTAAATACTTTAAATGGTATCTATGTTTTTAATATACAGAATTTTAGGTAATCTACATGTAATCTAGATTTTTTTGTATGGATATGTCCAACTTCTCATCACATAAGGCAGGTGTTTCTCAAACAAAGTTCTATATACACCATTCTCTTTTCGTGCTGGATCTGACCATGGCTAATAAAACTGACCACTGCAAACATCCTTGAATGGTGCCTCACTGATACTGAAGAGGACGTGAAGACGTTGAAGCGTGTATGATGTGCGCCATCTCGTTCATCTAGTTGTTTTCAAAGTGTTGCTAATTTGCTTTCTGTGAAATTTGGGATGCACCTGTGCATCTAAATCCAGAATTTACATATGTGTCTATCTTACACTATATTTATGTACAAGTTAAAGTACCGAAATAAAGATGCATATACATTCGTAGAAGTCATGCCTACGCTATGAAAATTTATCATCAGCATATGTCGTAGAAAGGATATTTTTGGGTCTGATCCTAAAAGTTTTATCTTTGTGGGGGTTAATATGATAGCACTTACTAACTTAATATCCATAGCGTGTATCAGAAACATATTGACATCATTGTGTGTAAAACTGAGGAAGCTTACAGTTATCTATCTTTTCAGGAAACAGTGCGGTAGTCTTGACCTGACACAACGTAATGTAATGGAGGGAGATTGTGTCGTCTACTTTCTCGGGTTTCTCCTGCTGTGTGCGCAGAGGGCGGTGGATGCAGTCAACAATCCAACAGTCGTCACACAAAATGGAGCTGTCCGTGGAATTACACACGAGTTCGGTGGCAGACAAAACAGAAAGTCAGTAGATGTTTACTATGGTATACCTTATGCTCAACCGCCAGTAGGTGATCTTCGTTTTAAACTTCCAGTTCAAACAGATCGATGGGATGACGTTTTGGATGCTACCAAGAAACCAAATACTTGTATGCAAGGACACGATACGGTATGGGGTAATTTTAGTGGAGCTATGGTTTGGAACCCAAATACAGAAACATCCGAGGACTGTCTATACCTCAATATTTGGGTCCCCAAAAGTGGCCGTTCCAATTCAAATAACAAAGCTGTGTTTGTCTGGATATACGGTGGAGGTTTCTACAGTGGATCCTCAACTTTAGAAATATATGAAGCAAAATATTTAGCAGTAGAAAATGATGTTATTGTTGTATCTATGCAATATCGTGTTGGTGCCCTTGGGTACCTTGCAATGGGTCATCCACAGGCACCTGGTAATATGGGAATGTTTGATCAGAGAATGGCCTTGGAATGGGTTAAACGAAATATTGAGTCTTTTGGAGGCAATTCACGAAATGTGACAATATGTGGCGAAAGCGCTGGAGCGGTGAGCGTAGGTCTACATCTCCTTTCTCCAATAAGCCGCGGACTGTTCGACAGGGCTATACTACAGAGTGGGGCACCACAGACAAAATGGGCTACAATACCAATGCAAGAAGCAGAAAGAAGAGCTCGGAGGTTAGCAGAACTCTTGGGTTGTGATGCTGAAGCCACTAAGTTTGAAGTTATCCAATGTTTAAGAAATAAACCGGCGAAGGAGTTTCAACTGCACGAATTCACCGTGATAGGCGGTGGGGTAGTTCAGTTCCCCTTTATCCCGGTGATAGATGGCAGCTTTCTGGTTGAAAGTCCAGAAGAGTCGATCAGACTGAGAAGGTTCAAAAAGATTCCACTCTTGTTGGGCAGCAATTCGAATGAAGGATCATTCTTCTTGGTGTATTTTGACAAAGACCATTTTAACATATCCACAGAAGTAAATATCAGTAATTTACAGTATACGATGATAATGGATCAAATGTTTAAGACTTACCCCCGACACCCGCATCGACTCAACGACTTTGGGATGGACGCCATACTATTTCAGTACACTAACTGGCTAAACCCGAATAACCAGACTATGATCAGACACAACATAGAACAGGCTGTTGGCGATTTCCATTTCGTGTGTTCGGTTAACGAACTTGCACAGGCGTATACAAGTGCTGGTCAAAATGTTTACTACTACAGGTTCACCCATCGGATGAGCAACCATCCTTGGGGAGACTGGATGGGTGTGCTACATGCAGATGAAATTAATTTTGTGTTTGGGGAGCCACTGAATCGTACGAAAAGATATACAGCACACGAAAAAGAGCTCAGCAAAAAGATGATGCGTTACTGGACTAACTTTGCAAAAACAGGGTAAGTGGTTCTTTTATTTTACGTTTCCGTTATCTGACTTATCGTTAAATGGTCATTAAACTGCATATCTACAATTTCTAATCTAGAAATATGCACTTAGAAAGAGAAACATGCACTTACAAGAAATGGCAGCTTCATCAGTACATTGTTTTAGTAAAAACTAATAGGCGATTAACTTATATTATATGTTTTATCGTTTCCCGTCGGCCGTACGTCGTGTGTATATCTGTGGTCAACGTACGAGATCTCTGAAAGCTCATGGCCTTAGAAGCTGAAGGCTTGTGTTATTATGACCCAAACAATGTAATATCTGATAACTGGTCACGAACTTCTCATCAATGATACACTTGACCACCGTCATAGGTTTAAATATTCATTTGGTGTACTGTTCAGCCATGCCTGCATCTATAATTGTGAAATATGATTTGCATGAATAATGTGGAACCCTTAGTATCATCTTTTTGTGTTTTGATTTTGGTTTAACTATTGCCTTTGTCTGCATTTACTAAGATAGCATTCCATGTTTTACGTATTATTTATAAAAAAAAGAAGTTTATAAATCCGAAATTACGTGTATGTGATGACAATAATGGAAGATCTCACTTAAAATAAGAGACACCGACAGTCATTCGATGCATTTAATGTGTATTATGCACAATACTATATATACTATATATACTGTGCTTCATACACCTATTGAAAGTAACAACATAATGATTGGTCATTCCTCTGATCAATGTTTTATCAAGGCAAATTAATTGACAAAACCCATACCTGGTAACAGGAGACAGAGCGACACGATTCGATTTCGAACGATGTCGTCCCGGTAACGTTCGCCATTAAAATTGGCATTAACAATTTACGTTCTCCTATGACCATTACACTTCCATCCCCCAAACTGACGACGTTGAGAAACGCAGCAAGCGTCGCTAATTTTTTTTCTCGTGGACGCCTTTTGACCCTTGCATTAGAGCTGTCCAGATGGCACCTGAACTCATCTGTGAACAGTATACTGTCCCAGACATTGATATTGTGTTAAGATGAACATTGAAATGTCTGACAACTTCGTTTTGCGCCATTCCTATTTGCAGCATACGCACGGTGCGTACACATTGATTTTCAGCAAGCCATGGCTTTGCGTAATCATCGCTTACGGTTAAACAAAATAAGCGGTTTCAACTCTATTCGCCTACAGTGCCGATCGCCAAAAAGAAAGCTGTTTTTTAGTGCACTTTGTCTACATTATATAAAATGCACCCCTTACATTAATTGTGGACTAATCCAAAGTATTTTGTATGTTATTATTACTTTACTCTGTTGAAAAACCTGTGAGTTGCTTTGAAATATGTTGTTTATATATTTCCTCTCAACACCCAGAAGATGAAAGGGGAACTCTGTGCGTTTTCATAAGTTATTAATCATTTGAAAAAAATAGTTTTGTTCATAGTCAAGCTATACTGAACCGCAAAAGAAACATCACCCCAAGTAACATTGCATAAAAAGTCATTTAAATATCTGGGTAATTTTTGTCAAAGTTTCTAATATTTAACATTACCTTGTCCGGAAAAATGAAATTTGATGATAAAAAGTCAAAGCAGATGACAATAAAACCAATCGCCCAAACGCATCACGACCACGGCCATGGTAACCCGATGCACGTGAGTTCCGTGCAAATTGAAATGGACATGCGTTACCCCATTTCTCGCCCTATAAAAATCCATCCAGATCGGACAACATTAGTAGTATAGGTAATGGGGGTTCTGGACCACTTCCACTGGAGCAGGATTCATATACCTATACTGCTACTACAGGGGGGATTTTTTATGTCAAAATGATTATGTGATTTAACGATAGTCATGAGTTAAAGTTAAATTGGCTCTAGCTCACCAATACCTGGGGCCAATCATTGCTTTAGATGAGCCTAAATGGTAATAAAAATATTCTTGATTATTTTTATCGATAAAGCGATGTTCAACATTTTTATTAAGTTCTTCGTTAATTTTACTAGGAGACCAGACTATATAACTACACTCTTTTTGTAAATTGATAAGAAACAATTGATAACCGTATTTGGTTGGTTTGACATCACTGATATAATAAAAACCTTGTGGTAATTCTTTCCATTTAATAGCTTTCTCCATTATTATATATATTTATGTAAGCAATTGTCTAAATGTGATCAAACGATAGTTAGCAATCTATTTTTAATCTCCAACCAGTTCTTTGGTTTTGGCACGGAATAATTGACGCGCTTGTTGCCTCCCCTCTTCTATGAACTTTTTTTTCTCGTCTTCGCTAATACCACTGGTCTTACGAGATTTTGATCGAATCTCCTGCTTCATTTTATTGTATTTGTTGAGTTCCGACAGCACTAAACGAAACTCATCCTCGGATATCTTACAATCGGCCATTGCTGTCGAAATATGATCCTCGATGCTGTTCAACTTTGCTTCGGCGAGTATCCGAATATTATCGTGTTTTAATGCTTTCTTTTGTAACCCACGAGAAATGAATTTTATCGCTATTCCTGCCAGTCCCGAGACTCCAGCGGCTATTTCCATGGCGAGCACGATAGGCGCGGCGATTATAGTTGATAGTAAACCGATACCCGCTACACCGAGTCCCATACCAGATACTACAAGAGCGGTGTCAACTCCGTCCAGAGCATTCACGGCTCTGCGATACTTTTTATACAATCCAAGTCTCAACTCCCTATCCTTCCCTATTCGATGTTTTATGTCGCTTATTTGATGTAATCGAAATCCATCAACAGTTTCCATCTTTTCAAATGCTTCACCGAGCGCCGGATATAAACTCATAGTGTATATAACGATCATATAATAGTCTTTAATTGGTCTTGCTTAAATGTTTTGAGACTATACATCAACCTTATCAAATGTATATTATACGGCAATAATATCTTAGAAAGAGAAATACTACCACTTTTAATAATTTGGACCCCCTCGAGGGTTGCAACGGGCGATGCTCCGATATGAATAATACTGCAACGTTGACGCTCGTGATTCTTGAACCATTTAATCGATAGACCTGGTAATATTTCGAAGGCATCTACCGGTGCATCTCCGAACAAGACTTCAATAATAAGCGTAGAAAGATTAGGTATTGCACTTAGGTTAACTTTAATTTCTTCGAATTCAGTAACCAAATTTAAACTAATGTTTTTTAAGGACGGACGACTATATAACATATGACCTGGGTTTCCTGGCAGGGGAGTGACCAACACACTTTTTCGTTTTGACGGGATATAAGCCGCGAGTACGATGCCACTATTTATTATCTTAGTTAAATTATGTCCCTTACCCATCATCACATAAGGTGGGGTAATGACGATATTCAATAGCCACTCGATGTTTGCTTCGACCATAGTCCATTTTTTATCGTCGTTGCGAGTAATATTGTATGAAGTGTTTTTAAGGAGTCTACTAACGTCGACATCGCTTAAATCTCCTAGATTACCCGTGAATGTGACTTCTTTCCGCTTGTATACATTATCGTGTAAGTGTAAAGCGTATAACTTACCATTGTCACCGGGTTTATCAAATCCTTCCGTGTCTCCGAGATCGGAAAGCGCAATTGTATTACATTTTCTTACTGTTCCAGGGCCTGATGCATCAACCATTATTTTTAATATGGAGTGTTACGCTTAAGTATCCTATATGTACAGGTTGATGTTTTACATCTAATATAGAAATTTTGAGGTCTGAAATAATACCACGCTTCAATTTTTTATATTGTAATGATGAGAAAGATTCCGTTCTACCGCTATTATATTTTTCATTTTTCACTGGAACACTTCTTAGCAGAGTTGAAGGACTTTCTTGTTGAATATTATCTGTCGTACTGATTTGATCAAGATGGATGCACAACTCTTTATAGGGAACTAAATCGGGCAATGTATTTCCATGTTGTGTTTCGTTAGAACTTATAATTTTAAGCTCAAATCCAAGTGTAATTCCTAAGTATGGGATAAGAATTACACCATTTTCTCCAGTGTCGATTTTCAGCATCCCATTCGATTCATTTTGTGAGAGACTAATTCCATTAGGCTTAAAAATTTCATCATTGAGTGAGCATACGCTGTAATACCCATCAGGTATAGTAATATATTTGTCAGGAGCATCTTCATCTAATATATGTATCCTATTATTAATTTTCGCAGCACTTATATTGGTCCACAGTGGGTAATACATTACATCGCATAGAGCGACTTCAAGTTGTCCATCCGAGTTATCGATAGTACGAAGCAGTTGAATAGACTGACCATTTGTTATTCCCAGGAGTGTAACATACATATCAAATATACAATGATACTATATCATAACTTAAATATGGAATTAACCATTATTTTTAATATGGAGTGTTACACTTAAGTATCCTATATGTACAGGTTGATGTTTTACATCTAATACAGAAATTTTAAGGTCTGAAATAATACCCCGCTTCATTTTTTTATATTGTAATAACGAGAAAGATTCCGTTCTACCGCTATTATATTTTTCATTTTTAACTGGAACACTTCTGAGAAGAGTTGAAGGACTTTCTTGTTGAATATTATCCGTCGTGCTTATTTGATCAAGATGAATGAACAACTCTTTATAGGGAACTAAATCGGATAATGTACTAGGTAAAAACATTCTTACGTCGGGAGATAATGTTGTTTCTTTTCCCAATCCAAGTGTGTATGCTAAGTTCTCACCAATAAGTATTTTTTCGTTTCCATTGATGATTTTCATGGTCCAATTCGACTCATTTTGTGTGATACTAAATTTAATAGTATTTAAAAATGAAAATTCCATATCAGCCTTAAAATAATCATTGAGTGAGCTTATGCTGTAATACCCATCAGGTATAGTAAAAATTCTATTAATTCTATTTTGGTCATCTAATATCCATATCTTATTATTACCTCTCGCAGCACTTATATTGGTCCACCGTTGGTAATACGTTACATCGCATATAGCTACTTCGAGTTGTCCATC